CTTTCAGCTCCTGCTGCAGATTTAAACTTTTTTTCAGCTACTTTCAGCTCCTGCTGCAGATTTAAACTTTTTTCAGCTGCTTTCAGCTGTTTTGTGCTGCTTTTAGGTTTGTTCTGCTAACTGCAACCTTTTTGTGCTTCTAACTTCTTTCTGCTAATTTCAGCTTGTTGTGATCCTGTCGGCTTATTTCTGCAAGTTTCAGCTTTTGTTATTTCAGCTACTGTTTAGTTGTATTTATGCTAATTTTAGCATTTTCAGCTAACTCCACAGTTCTTGCACCCATTTAAACTTTTTTCAGCCTAATACAGCAAACGTGCTCTCTGCACTTCTTTCTGATCATTTTAAGCTTATTTACCTTTTTAGCTGTTTTTGCTCATTTCAGCTTTTTTTAGATCATTTATTTTATGCTCATTTCTGTTTCTTTCAGCCTAATTGGGCGTGTTCTTTCTGCTATTTTCTGCTAATTTAAGCTTGTTCTACATTTTTTGTAGCCAATTTCAGCTGCTTTCAGATAAAGTCAAGTTTTTGTGATTATTTCTGCTACTTTCAGCCAAATTAACTTTTTATGCTCATTTCAACTTATCCTTCTTTCAGCTTTTTCTGCTATCAGTTACTATTTAGCTCTTTTATGCTAATTTTAGCCTTTTCAGTTAATTCCACATTTTTTTAGCTCATTTCAGCTACTCCCACTTCTTTATGTTTAAGCTTCTTTTTGCCTTTTAAGCTAATTTTCAGTATTTATTTTAGCTAATTTCAGCGTTTTTAGCAAATTTCCTAATTTCTGCTAATTTAATCCTGTTTAATCCAAGATGTGTTTTTCTGCTTTCCTCTGCTAATTTAGACTTGTTCTTCCATTTCAGCATGTTTTTAGCTAATGTCGCTGTTTTTCAGCAAGTTCTTCTGCAATAATCATTCACACTGCGTTTTCAGAGGAACCACAGTTTGTCTAGTTTTATTTACATTCCTTCCATAAAATGTCAGTAAAACAGTTCGAGTGTTATTATTAGTGCATTAAAATATAAATTAGTGTATTAAAATATAAATTAGTGCATTAAAATATAAATTAAATTAGTGCATTAAAATATATATTATATAATAAATATTATTAGTCGAGCGCCCTCTAGTGGCTGAAAATGGTAGTGCCCAATATTTTCCACGTCCGAATGAATGAATTTGTCAGATCTCAAACAAAAATTGGTTATAAATATGGTAAAAAACATAAATATGTCGCTTCGCTGTTTAACTCGCAGGCGTGCTAATTGATGTGAAAAACTACGACTTATACAGCAAAATATACGGTAAATTGGAGCTCTGTTCAGTTCAGACGGATCCTAATGCAAGCTCTTATGTTTTATTTTTTGGTAAACCAAAGTCGTCCATGCTAAAGAGAAGAGGAACAATCTAGTTTGATTACTGACATTAGCCAGCGCATTAAAGGCTACAACCCAGTTACCAACAAAGTCCAGGCTCAGTAATCCAGGTGTAATCCAGGTGTACAATCCAACATTTTTCAGTCAGGTCATCTGGACAGTTTCTTGTTTTGCTGAAACGTTTCACCTTCCATCCAGAAGGCTTCATCAGTCAAGGAAACACACAACACAAAACTGATTCTTCTCCAAACAGCTTACTCCAAAGTGGAACAAACCAGTTATGTTGGTGCTAAGATGGTGTCTTTGTCACGCCCCCTCCTCTCGTGCCGACCCTCTTCCTCATCGACAGTCATGTCAAACTGGTTCAAAACCAAAAAAAGTTCCAGGCTCAATAATCCAGGTGCAAAATCCAACGGTTTTCAGTCAGGTCATCTGGACACATTGTGTTGTGTGTTTCCTTGACTGATGAAGCCTTCTGGATGGAAGGTGAAATGTTTCAGCACAAAATGACCCGACTGCAAAATGTTGAATACAGTTAGTTTCTACAAATCTTGGTCTAAAACCTGCTCTGGTAGTAGCTGAGAGTCTTCACAACATGTACTCTGAACATATGTATCACATGATCACGTTAATCATTTATCTTCGTCTTCTTTCGGCTTTTCCCTCTTCAGGTGTCTCCACAAGTCCTCCTCCATCTCACTCTGTCCTCTGTGTCCTCTGTCCTCAATCCGTCTACCTCCATGTCCTCTCTAACTGCATCCATATGTCTCCTCTTTGTCTTTTTCCTGCAGCTGCATTTCTAACATCCTTCTACCAGTTTACCCACTGTCCCTCCTCTGGACATGTCCAAACCACTGTCCCTCCTCTGGACATGTCCAAACCACTGTCCCTCCTCTGGACATGTCCA